TAAAGCTTAATGTTCATATTAGTTAAAAGCAGAATTCCTTGGAGAATTTATATCATCAATTTCTTGTTGTAAAACAAACATTTACTGAAAACATGCTCTGAATCATAAAAAAATGCGATAAAACTAAATTATTTAATTAGAAAAGATTTTCATTTCTTTTATGAATGATATATATTAAGGACTATTATCTTAAGCAAATTTTTCAATGAATAATGAATTTTTAGAAGAATTGTTTATATTTTTTTTTAATTTTAATTAGAATAATTTATAAAGTTTTAAATTTTTTAAAATACTCTATTAATTTGTAACATTTAGGTGATATTGTTAAGTAAAAACTATATTTACCAATCATAAATTGAAAAGCTTATTACAATTTAGTGACACCCAGTATTTTAAAAAGAATCTTGAATTTTGTTTTTTGTTTTTTTATATGTGTAGAAATGGAAGTTCATACACGACATTATCAAAAAATAAAAGCAATAGATATATTAAATTTAAAGCCAAAGTATCTAAAATTCAATAAACCGTTAGATTACGGAGACTATTTTCCTTAATTTTGAAAATTACGGAGTACTTTAAAAATTATATATAAAAAATTTAAAAAAAGGCACTGATGTTATATTGCTCAATTATTTTTTTTTACAGATATATCCACCGTAGAAAAACATTCGATAAACTTCCATCAAGCTGTCGACATGTCAACACCTTAAATAAACAGCTACTGTCGTGTTAAAAAATGCATTTCTGCGATATTTTAAACTTAAAGTAAGTAATATTTGTTCCAAATCAGATTAACTAATCTTTAAATCAGCTAATATTCCTAAAATAAAGTTTCAGAAAAGTATATTTTATTTTTAGAAAATTTTTTAAGAGAATTACACTCTGATGAAAGGTGGCTAAAAATGACACTAAAATAAATAATTTCAGCAATTTCAAGACAAAAACTCTCTCCAGACAATTTAAATTAGTTTTTAAATACAGCAAAGTATTTTGCTTATTGGAAATATTAAATTTAATCTATCAGCTTGAAATTAAAACTAAAATAAAATCTTCAAAAATGTTTCCTTTTTAAAAATTCATTTTAAACCTTAGGTAATTTGTTTCTTTTGACATACCTCTCTATCTATCTATCTATCATTATATATATATATATATATATATATATATATATATATATATATATATATATATATATATATAATCACGGTAAACTAAAAGAAAATAACAAACATCCACCAGAAATAACATTTCCATACATTTTACATTATTGTCTTCAAAGTAAAATTAAATTTTACTTCTATGTTATACTAAACCTATAAGTTATTTATATTAGAAAAATTTAAAGAAAATTTACTGCATATAAATGTCCAATAATATACAATATGACAGACAAGTGCAGCTCATAATCATTTCTTTCATTGTACCTGCCCGCTTGAAATATATAATACAACAAACTTAAATGTATTTTATATTAGAATCTAGAATTTGTGAAGTTTGGAGAGTAAAAAACAAAACAAACATATCCACTATATCTTTAATATAGACTATGAAATCAAGTTTATAGCTTTTATTTCTGTAAAAGTATAATTTTTATTTACTATATTTTCTTGAATCAACTTTGTTGAAAATTGATGTTTTCATTTTATTTGCAAATATAAGCAAAGGAATATATTACATTTCGCATCATTTGTGTGAAATGTGCAACTAGTGTAAATGTCATTTGTATGGAAAGTGGAATTGACAAGCAGATTTAAAATTCTAGCTTAGTTTTTGCATTCCTTTTCACACTAATGCTCTTGGAAATTATTCTCTCTCTCCACCCTCACAAACACATGCATACCAAGCTAAGGGTTAAATAGCAAGGTAGCCTTGGATGGCAACCCGTCCAAGAGAAGGACAACGATAAATTCAAACCATGGAGAAGGCAATAGTAAATCATACCACTATATTTCCTAAGCTGTCATGGCACTTCACAGATAATAAAGGAAATAAATCTGTGGAGAGCCACGATTCTCCCTATCCAGAAAAATCATTTATGAATGTTGTCTAGTTCATTTTATAAATCCTAATAACGTTTATTGCTTCAAATGTAAAATTTAAGTTGCTTTCATTTTAAATTTTTCTTTCTAGCAAGACTACATTTAATAGATAACTTATGTAAATGTTAATTTTATTTTTTTTTATTTTTAATCATTTCACCCCAAGCAAGTCATTAGAGCCACTAGGATGCAAGAGGTTATTGAGTGTTAGAGAATATGAGAAAAAATACTATTAAGGAAAAAGACCAATATAAGAATTAAGAAAACAGAAGATAATGATTGACATTGCATTTAAATTTTTGAAGATCAAAGTTGACTGGGAAACAAGAAACTGGAAAAGAGTTCCACAAGTGAGAAATATGATAGAAGAAACTGTTACCATAGAACTTACAGTTACATCTAGCCATTTCAACTATAAATTAATGTGACCTTGCCGCCAATCTAGTACTTTACTTATATTCATAAAGTCTAGGTACCATAGAGGAAAGTTCGTCAGAACAATTACCATGAAAGTATTTATAGAAAAGGCACAAGGAAGTTATGTTATGGTGGTGGGAAAAGAATTGTAAAGTTAGATGTTCATTGACATAAACTTCAGTGTAAAGAAATTACAGAAATCTATTAAATGTGTAGCTCCTCCTTTTTTGAAAGAGCTGGAAACATGAATTCTCTGTGTGATACAATAATGCTGTGGTGTCTAATAGTACACTTGCTGAATGAATACTATGAAATGGAGTGCGTGTTGTTGACTGATAAGTTAAATAGCACCAACTTTGAATTGGGGTGTGATTTGAAGCCATATTCCCCATTGGTTGCTATCTCGTTAATTGTCAGGAGTCTCATGGTGACTGCAATTTTCATGTATTGTTGATATTTATTCAGAATTTACATATTCCTGTTATGCCCTTGTTATTGCCCCCCACCCCCCAAAAATTAAATGAGAAGTTGACACCATGATTCATCATCTTTCTCGTCCCAACAATCATTCCACTGTCAATTAATGTTACTTCCTGTCCATGTGTCAGCTACTGTTGTCATCTCTGGCTGAGTCCCTTTCTGCAATTTGGGGAGAGTGAAGGCAGCCAGTGTACAACTGTTTAATTTTTTTGTTTGCACTTCAGTTTAATATTTGAGCTTAGCTTAAACAAAAGAATGTCAGCTCTTTGTAAGGAAACAAATGCTGAAATTCATCCAAATACTTTGTATAAGTTCTCATGTCCCCTTTATAATTGAACAAAAAGCCTTCATTTTTTTTTTTTTTTTTACTATCCTCATCTTAGTTATTTTTATCATAATATTCAAGCTATTCAATTCTTTAATTATATAAATAACATGTCTAAGATTTTCAGACATTTCTTTAAGGTATTTTAATTCTGAAATTAAGAATAGCATGGTAAAATATTGTTTGTGCAAGATCTTCATTGTGTATTTTTATCTTGTCTACAAGAGTTTGTTACATTTCAAATTTATCTCAGCTACTTTTCATTTTGTACAGCTAGAAATTCCCAACTCTTTTTCATATTTATGTGTATGTATAATAAACACTACAAATTTGCTTCAAGCTTTCAATAGAACTTAAAAAATCTGCACATCATTTCATTAACTATAAATGTTTCAAATTTTATAACTTGTTAAGCTTTATTTTGGATTTTAAGAATATACTAAAACCTGCATTAATAGAAATAAAAGTAAAGATTTCTATAATGTATTTTTGGAAACTTATTTCTATGAAAATTGGTTTTATTTTTTGTTGGTAGTATATTTTCTCACCATGCTTTTTCTTTCTTTTCTGCTCAAAAAATAATCGGAATCCAAATAAGAAAAATGTAAACCATTACTCCAGAGAATAATATATTTTCATATATTTTTTTAAATTTGGCTACCATTTTTGTTGAAATAGTACTTGGGAACATACACAGCAATCCAAGTAGGTGTTTTTTTTTTTTTTGTTTTTTATCAAAGGCCATGGGGTAAATTTTGCAGCAATATGATGCAGGTTTAGATTTTCCATGGGGATCTCTTTGCAGACTCCATAACTGATTCCAGTTGTGTGAGAGAAATGATGGATTGTATAGTGATTGTTCTCAAGATCATAATTTTTTTTTTCTTCCACCCCTACATTTTCTGGCATTTGGCTGGTTATTTGGTTATCCTGAACTCTCATCCATCATCTTGAACTGACACTTGACAAGCCTTGAAATATGTGTGTCACTCAAGAACCTGCATTCAACTGAAAGAATGTTCACCAAAAACCTGACAAAGCATTTCAAGTGTTTCTGTAAGATATTCACCAAGCTTCACACAAAATTTGTTGCAGGCACATTGCTTGTATTTGTCAGCTATCATAATGTTCATAGAGTTGTTCCAGTACAACGTAATAATTGAACACAAGTAGACAGCCTATTGACAGACTGATTCAGTAGGTTGGGTATTCATTACTGTTACCTGTGTTAATCACAGCACATCTATTCTTGGAACTTTCTGATAATACCTTGTATATTATTTTGACTTTATATTCACACAAGGATCAGATAAGTTGACAGATAATGACTTTTTTTCTTACTCTCTGACACACAAGCAAATAAAAAAAATATTTTCAAGAATTGTTTATCATCTACTTCCAATGTAAAATGATATGAGAACATCATGATTGTACAGTGGTTAGTGAGCCATATTTTTATCAGGCTATTGGAAAAAACTTTAATCCTTGCTAAGTATTCTACATATGTATCCTTGTCCAACAAATTACAATGTCAGTAGTTATAAAGAAGAAAGTTATGCAGCATTATGAAATCATTTTATACTAATTTGTTCTGTTTTCCCCTGAAAGCATGTAGAATATTTTATTTGTACTTTAATGTCTCTTGTTTCAAACTTTATTACATTTTTTGTAATAATAATAATTAATATTAACTCTTTTCTTCTCCTGTTATATTTTTCAGGTCTCCTTATTAGCGCCCCATGTGCCGTGGTGGTTGTGACAGGGTCATGTATGACGGCAGCAATTGCTCAGTTGTAAACAGTGGTCCCTTGTACATTGGTCCCCGTGATAAATTATGCATGTTGAATGGCTCCTCTTGCAGCAACATCAACCTTGCCCGGCGGTTTGTGCGCATTAAGGACTTGTCCTCATCATCATTGTCATCTTCATCTTCTCCCATCTCATCCACTCTACACAGCCAGTCTTCTTCCTCTTCCTCCTCTTCTTCCACAAAATGCTATGTCTCCACAGCGGCCAAGCAGCCAGCTGACCATCGTGTTCAACTCACAACTAAAGCAGCAGCTACGGCTACAGCAAGACGAAAGGGAAAGTAAGAAACTTGACACCCTTCCCCCTCTGTTGACTGAAAACCCACTTTCCGCTAAGAAAAAAAAAATTAATCTTTAAAATTCCTAATAATTTAAATGTTAATAAGAGTTGGACAGTGTAAATAAGATTGGTTTTCATGAATCGTTTTTAGATTACCGAATGAGGTTATTGTAAGGGTTTACGGGGAATGGGTAAGAGATGCGTATTATGAGACTATGTAGGATAGATAATAGTTGACCCTAGACTTGAAGAGCTTAAGATTGTAATAATTGGAGGAGCATTCTCTCAGGAGTCTGTTTCAAACTGAGTGAAACTTCTTCCTTACCAATGGAATACAAATGGAATGAAGATGTGTCGACTGTGTATGTGGCACAGCAGGTCCTAATTGTGGAGATCTGTACTAGTAGAACTAAAGAATGTATCTTATCTGAATATCTGCCATGAAAATAACAATAGAGTAACAAAAGGCTAACAACATTTTGTCTGTAGGAAAGGGGTTGTAGGGTGGGAAACTATTCATTACTCACAAGCTCACATAAACACTTTTGAATTCTCAAGACTGCAGCTCCCATCCAGATATGTCAGCAATACTCCATTTTTGATCTGATCTGACTCTTGTAGAGATAAAGCCTGGCAGGAGTCAGTTAACTTTCTGGAGCAGTACAAGAAATTTACCATTTTCTCAGAATCTTCAGTGATTGTATATAAGAGTTCCTCTTGGTTTGGTGTAAGCTCCAATAGGGATTCAAAGTAAGAAGCCTCATTGAGCATTCATCATGACTGAAGAAAACTTGGGGTCTGCTTGGTGGTAATGAAATGTTACTGGCTTGGTTTTGGAGGTATTGAATGTTACAAGCCATTTCCTCCCCCTTTGAGCTGTGTGAGCTAGGTCAGAGAATACATCATCTGCCCAGGCTCTGGTTATCTCAATATTTGGTGGTGGTGGTGGTGGTGGTGGTGGGGGGGTTGCACTAATAAACTGTGGTATTTTCTACATAGATATTTCCTGAAAGTTCTTAGGCAGATAGTTAATATAAAGCAGTAAAAGGGTCGGACCAAGAAAAAGATCCTTGTGAGTACTAGATAGAGAACAGCTGCTTTCAATGTCTGATTGGAAATGCTTTTTGAAAATTTTTTGGAATCTTTTTATTATTTGGTGGATTAGAAATTGGAATTTTGTATCATAAATCACTTAAAATCAATGTAATCTATAGCTGAATGATATTTGACCAAAATTTTTAAAAATTTGCATCATAATTCAATGCAATAAAAAGTTTGTAAATGTTTGAATAATCTGTAAATAGCATAGTAGAAAATAACATGGACACATGTGGAAACACCTCTTTCTGTAAAATCTCCAACGTTCAGTAATGTTGATCCTTGTTAGTACTTCGATGGGTGACTGCTTTGGGAATACCAGGTGTTTTAATGGATAATGGCTTGGAATTGTTAATCAGAGAGCCGAGTTCCAATTCCCATTGGGTTTGTTACATTCACTTATGGGCAAATACCTTTTGGAAACATATGAATTCACCTCTTTTCACCCCAGCTATGGGCTAATTAATAAAACTTATACCACTAAAGCCATTATTATCTCAAAAAAAATTACCTACAATGTAGTAATATTTTCCAGCTTTAAATAACCTGCAAAGAGTTGATAAGCTGTAGAAAATAAATCTGTCAAGTGAGATTTGAACTCATAAACTCTGATTTACAGTAACGTACAGAATAAATAATAAGCACCTTTTACATTTGATATGTTCTACTTATTTATATCTTACCTGTTTTTAATCCTTTAGAAAATTATATTGCTTATCTTTAAATTGAGTTGAAAAGAAAACAAAGATTCCTTATATAATTAATTTTATGTTACAACCAATGATTTGGGAAATAGGATAATTTTCATTTCACTGTATAGCTTTTAATAATATAAAACTATTATTGATAAAAAGCAAAAATTGTTGAAAAAATGGTTGTTAGCCATTTTATTTGATATTTGTATTGTAAAAAAAATTATAAAAGACGTTATAAAAATTTGTAATGTGTGGAATCTTTAAAAAAAAAAAAAAATAACCTTTCTTAAGTAAATGGTAATTTTTAATAGCCTTATGGCAGAATGTAGGTAATCCATTTGTAAATATTTATATTCTAATAAAATTATACAAAGTAATTTTTACATAGTGTACTTGAATTAAAATTTCACTCCCAAATCAGTTTGTATTTGTCATGGTTAAAGATATTTATTACCTATGATTTTATGATTGGTACTTGTAAAGCAGTCTGGTCGTGATTAGAGCAAGTAAATTATGAGATTTGGTCCAGTTAAGGGAATCATAAAAACGATCTGTCTGGAGTAAACCATTGAAAACAATTACAATGAATTTCTTTGAATTCATCTTTTCGACAAAACTCTATCCTCTATAATGACATAACTTTTTGATTGTTTTTAATATTCTGTCAGTACATTTTTAGGTGTGAAATATAAATTCCAATATGTTTCTGATGAATTTATTAAAATATCTTGAATGTAGAGAAAACATTTTTAAGTTGATGTTATAAATGAAAATTGTCAACTGCAAAACTATTAACAAAAAAATCAATAAAGCTTATAAAGTTATAAAGTGGATTGTACTTCTCAACCAAACCAAGTTTGAAGATATGCAAGGATAAGGTGATTTTTTTTTCTAGTTTGAGATAGAGCATGTGATGTATATAGAATCTATAATTCATGAAAGCAAATATTTTACTTTGACTAATTTATTAGTGTTGACAAATTTTTGTCATTTAGATCCTTATCTGACTGTAAATAATCAAGTTTCTGATCAGTTTTAAAAATCTTTATGAAGAAACAAATTTGATTTAACTAATAGTAGATAGGTACTGCCTGGTTCACAATCCTCCCTGGTCTTTTGAACAGGAGTAGAGGTTTATCCCTTGTTTCCTGTTTAGGATTGGGTTTCTGGTTCCTTCAAAAGTCTTATTCTCTTTCACTCCCAGTAACTCCTAACATCTTAGTGGCATTATCACCTTACTTCAGGAGAATTGGTAAAAAAAAAAAAAAAGCTTCTATTTAATCACAAATTTCAATTTTTCTTATGGTATTGATTATAAATGAAAGATTTACATAGACTTGTCTTTATTTAAGTCCAATTGAATTTGTTTTCATCTATAAATATAAAGTAAGATTTGGATTCATAACCTCTAACTTAGAGAAGTTATAAGTTCAAATTACAAATTGAGTTTGGGAAAAAATAATGTGATTTAATACCAAAAGGAGACAAGATGTGTTTTTTATCTGGTGGAAAATTTTACATTTACCTCATAAGTTGATTTTCTAAGCTTAGGTTTAAAATATTTGAAAATTGTTTCTTCTACAATTTTTTAAAACTTATGCTTATTCTAATACAAGTAAATTTATCTATTTTTGTCTGGAATAAAATGATCCTCATAAAAGAAAAGTAAATTATGAGTTAACCTAAAAAATACAGAATAATTTCCAAAACAAATGACTGTATCTGAAATATTTACATGTGAACTTTACATAAAATAAATTATATAATCATTTCATTTAAATTAAACATTATTTGTTACGCTTTAAGTTTTGAATGTTGATAAATTACTATTCCTGTAATGTTTTGAAGATGGTCTGAATAAACATCAGATAATTAATAAAATCATTTTGTTATAAAATATCTAGATATGAATTGTAATCATTTTTTATTTTGTATTCTTCAGATCCCGAAACAGTAGTGTGCCAGTGCATGGTATGTTGCAACAGAGAGAAGGGAAATCTAAGGCAGACCGTGGCGATGGAGATCTGTTCATTGACAGTCGGATGTCTTTTAAGGATAGAGTTAAATCAAAATTTCACCTCAAGCAGTGCGAAGGCAAAGAGGACTCGATTGAGGACCCCGAAGACCCATACGCTTTTCCTGACCCCGTTGCCACTGATGTGCCGAAAACCTCTACAAACTCAAGCAGTAGCAGCATTGGTTTACTTGGAAATGCTGCTGCTGCATCTGCTGGGTCAACTAGCAGCATCAGCAGCATCAGTAGTTCTGGCGGCAGTAACAGTGGAAGTGGAGGTATATCTGCCTCTGGACAATTGTCTGAATCTCTGGCACCCCATCAACCACTGCTACACCGGGCACGGTCCCCTGCTGATGCTGGCAGCAATGTTACCAGTTCGGGGACTGGCATATCCATAGCCAAACTCTACCCAGAACTGGTTGAAAAACTTGAGGGTCGCAAGCCCCAAAAACCTGAGCAAAAACTCAAGAGCAAAGTGGACAGTTCACGGACAATGAATCGGCTACAAACAAAAATAGCTCAGAATAAAATCAAAGATAAGTTGAAGAAAACCCAGGATTACCCTGTCACTGCCTCCCAGTGCTTATCTTCAGCATCAGTAGTTTCTCAGTCTTTGAATCTCGGTGGGGTCGTTAACAGCGTAGTGGCTGCTACTTGCGGGGTCAGCGGTCAAGAACCTGTTTCCACTACTGCTTTCACCAAATTTCCACTCTGCGTAGTGTCATCTGTGGCCACTGCAGCCACACCAACAACACTGACTACCACTACTGCAGCCATCAGCTCTGATGGATTCACTACATCTAAGACGAGCGCAAAGTTGTCGTCATCATCAGTTGCGCCTGTACCAGCAGTGGTTCGATCTCCTGATTTCAACCCGGTTCTTAAGTCTGGCTCTCTTGTTACAGTACCATCTTTGTCTCTGGCTTTCACCACCACCATCACCACCACGTCTCCACTTCACAGTCTGTCTTCTCCAAACTTCGGTCTGCCATCTTTGACTGTGTCATCAACTTCAGAGCCAAAGGTTTCTCACAAACTGTCTTCTGTGTCTCCATCGCCGACACCACCTCTAAGCTCTTCTCCACCTTCTGTCCTGAAGACTCAGTTGAAATCCCCTTGTTCAACGGCATCCACAGTAAAGACTGAGGCATCTTGGCAAACAGCCCCAATTATGTTGTCTAATTTTAGTACATCCCCACAGCCTACTGAGCCTAAATTTTCAGTATTACACACTAAACCTAACAAACTGAACATACTCAGTGATAAAGAGGCAAAGGCCAAACTGAAAACTGACTCTGCTACAACATTTTACATGTACCATCAGAAAAAAAAACTTCAAGATCATGATTGGTTGGGTTGTGGTAAGTTTGTTTCTCTCTCATATTTCAATGTCCAAAACCTGTGGTTTTCAGCACTGTGAATTCAACAAAAGCCTTAGAACTGATTTGACCATTTCTCTGAAATACACCAAGGTATTTTTGCAGATATGATTTCCTTATAAAAAGAAAGCGCTTGGTTTCATAAACTGCAAACACACAAGATGTAGACTCTATTTACATAAATATATACATATATTATTAGTGCCTAAAGTTATGAGATCCTGTTCTGAAGTCCTCATCATAAATTAAGCAGTTCTGACAAGGTAAATGCCTCCTGTATAGAGTTGTGGTAGTAGTAGTAGTAGTGTCAGTTAGCATTTGTATCTTTATAATATCTGATTTTTTTTTTATATCTCCAAAAAAACAAGAAAAGAATTCTTAGAATCTAAAAATATTTTCTGACTTTAAATAACCTGCAAATGGTTGATAAGCTGTAGAAAATGAATCTCTCAACAAAGTATTCTAAATCCCTGAAAGCTTCAGGGCCTCTGCCAAAGTGCCGATTCTATTACATAGAATAATTAAAAGCCATCTCCTCATTATTTCAATATGTAAAAACAGTATATTAATATAGCAAGAATGTTGCCTTTTCCGCATTTCTGCCTACAATCACTGCTAAATTATTGTTTTAGAGGTTTCAGATACTTATTCTAAGAAGTGTGAAAGTTTTTTTTAAGCATTTGGACATGACTTATACTAATTTTGATGCAAGGCCAAATTTATAAGTCCTCTTAATGTGGAATTAATTTACATGAAATGGTTTAGAAGATAATCATTCTATTGAAGATGCTCTTACACACAATCTCAAAGTATTCACACAGCAGAAAGTAATTGCTATTTAATCACTGCTCTGTTATAATGAAGTAACTAATATTATCTGAAAATTTATAGCATTGGATATCAAACTTTTTATAGACTGAACTATCGAAGCTCTTGATTTTTAATTCTTCATCGAATTTCATAGATATTATTCAATGACTGAAAGCAGCATGACTAGTTGTTCGTTTTTTAATTATTCTCAATTTACACTCCTTTTTCACGATTGTAGAATAAAAATCTGGTTCATATTCTATCATCCCAACTAGATTTAAATTTGACTTATTTATTTACTGATTTTTTAATTATTTTGATTTATTGTTCATGCTGACAGTTTCTTTTCTTGCACATAAAACTCATTTCCAGCTCCATGCTTTCCAGCCAACTTTAATCTGCAAAAACTTAAATGCAATCGCTATCTACTGTTTTGATTACTCTTTTCTCTTTCTGCCCATTAATAAGGTTTCTGTTCTTAATTCTTCCACACCCTGTAACCCCTTGTGTCTTAGTGGCTTTTACTGCCGTGCATGTGGTGATACTGATTAAAAAATAAATAAATAAAATTATATTGACTGTGAAATCTGAACAAGTGTAAAAATGTATAGTTTAGTAGCTCTATTATGAAAGGATTATTCTTTTCAGTGAAGGAATAAATGAATTGATTTTTATTAGAACATTTTAAGATTAACCTGTTAATTGAAAATGGTCATCTGACTAATTAATCAAATATTTACTTATAAAATTTCATAGTGAATGACATGATGTTTTTTCATTTTCTTTTAAAATTCCCTATAATTTATCTGTTCTCTCAAAATATGGCATGTTAATGGGCTGCAATTACTTCTTAAAACTAAATTTAACTAATCTTTTGAAAACATTGACTATCAACAAAGGTTATTGTTTTAGGAGTTAATAAATTTACTCTTCTAAATTTGTGATATTATATATGAATATAAAACTTTGATTGGGATCTAGCTTAGAAAGTTGAATAGTTTACAGGTACTCTTTTAAAACTCTTATCATTTTTACTAAGTTTAAATATGGTAGTGATATAGCTTATATAGAAACCTTTATAGTTGCTGGGTTTTTGTGGTACTTTGAAATTTTTCATAAACATAAATGGGTCACCCTTACATTTACCAATATTTTTTTAATGAGAAACTTGTTACTGTATCTTAGTTGTTAATTTTTTAATTAGAGTTTCATATTTTGTTGTCTTTAGCTTAATGCATACAGCACTCATATTCATACCAGGGTGATTGATTTTATATAGTTCATGAAGAGCCATATTTTATGATGTCATTTCACTGACTCTGCATAGGTCACTAAAAAGTTGATGGTAGATCAGTTCATGACCTGTGGGGTCAACAGTTTGCCATATCTGGCTTATACTTTGAAATTTCATGTTTGATACTGTCCACAGCCATTTCATTTTTTAATCTTTGCTTTACATTCTCTGTTTAAAATGCTTAGCATTTTTCATTTTGAATTATGAAATCCTATTTTTTTTTCTTAACTGTATTTTCTGCTAATAATTTGGCCCTTCTTTATTCAGACAGGTTTATAGTTTTGTTCATAGGAAAGTTTGAAGTCTAACTATAATCTTTCATTTATGATTTTTAGGATAATTCTTTTCAAAGCTTTAATGTTTAATTGGACTCAACATGATTATGTAGTTCACAGTGTAACATATTGAAGAGAAAAAAATATTTTTTCTCTTCAATATTCCTGAAACAACTTACAGACAGGAATCTTAAATTTTATTAATCTGTATTGATTACCTAATAGCCAATATTTCATGTAATGTACTCAAGAGATCTATCATACATTTGCAATGTTTTTTTGAATAGAGACAAATATGACTTAATTATTTTCTTGGAAGATATGAAACTTTAATTGCATATAATTTTTGCTCAATAGATATTTTAGAAAAACTATTAGTTTAAACTCAACTGGTATTTTTTAATTGGTTACATGATTGTATCTTAATTGTGTGTGTGTGTACCTCCAAAGAAACATGCTACCTAATGTTTAAAATGAATCAAAAAAAAAAAAAAAAACTTTCTTGAAGTTTTTATTTTAGTTTTAATTTCAAGTTAATAGATTAAATTCAATATTTCCTATAAGCAAAATACTTTGCTGTATTTCAAAAACAAATTTAAATTGATTGGAAGTTGTTTTTTGTTTGTTTGTTTTTTAATCCACTAAAAATTGCTGATGTTAGCCATTTTTAACCCACTGTCAGTACAATATAATTCTCAATTAAAAAAAATCATTCAAAAATAAAATATGCTTTTCAGAAAGTTTATTTGAGGAATATTAGCTGATTGAAAGTTTAATCTGTTTTGAAACTTGCTTATTTTTATTTTAAAATATTGTAGAAATGCATCATTTTAGCACAGTTAGGTGTCCTTATGAGATATTGACAGTTGGAAATTTAACTACATTTTGCTACAGGAGTTAAAAAAAAAATTACTCGACAAATATAACATGAGTGTCTTTTTATATAATTGTTTAACTGCCCAGAAATCTTAAATATTTAGGAAAATCTCCATAATCTAATGTTTTATTGAATTTTAGGTATTTTGGCTTAAAATTTACTATAGTCACCACTTTTATTTTCTGATAATGTTGTGTATGGATGTCCATATTTATAAAAATTGGCACATTTATTCACACATGAAATAAATTCAAAATTCTTTAGAAATACTGGAAGTTGCTGAATTATGCTAAGCTTTTTCATTTATGATTAGGAAATATATTTTTTTTACTTAAAAACAATGTCACCTAACCAGCATAAATCAATACAGAATTTTAAAAGATGTAAAACTTTGTAAATTATTAAAATTAAAATTTACAAAAAAAAAAAAAAAAAAAATAATTTTTTTTTTTTTTTTTTTTTTTTTTTTTTGAAGACCATAATCTCCATAATAGCTTTTCTAATTAGTCTTAGTTTACTTGTATTTTTTTATTTTACAATTCAGAACATATTTTCAGTAATTGGAAGTCCTGTTTTACAAAAAGAAATTGAAAATGTAAATTCCCCAAGCACAAAAAAGAATTTCTCAAATCATTGTTTTTTCACTGCTAAAAGACACTAAAATTTCCTATGCTAATTTATGGTCTCCTGCTGATGTAAGAGAAACAATTTAGCAAAAATTTTGAAGTTTTTAAAAAGGATTAAAAAAACATAATTTAATAATCAAAAAAATCGTTTAGTCTTTCCTCTTAATAATAACAAAAATTTTGATGATGAAACTTCTTTTTTATTAAGTTTGGGACATTTTTTCATCACCTATGTTAATTTTTTTTTTTTACTGAATCTTTAGATGTTTGTGTGTGTGTGTGTGTGTAGAATTTTTTTTTTTTTAAATTTTTAACACACTAGGAAGTCATTTATTCTGTAACTTTAAAAACATCCTATTTAAACCCTCTTTCTTGAAATCAGTGCAAATGTTATTTCAAAAATATAAGGTTCTGATAAAGATTAAAAAACTTATAATCGTTTTTCATGTGTATCCTCTTTGTTTTTTCTGTAAATCCCTAAACTGTACTAGTTGTGTTCATTCCTATAGTATCATAATGTGGAAAGTTCATTAATTTGATTGAATTTATAAATGTGGATTTTTTAAGCTCTGCAAATAACTGATGAATGTACCATTGCAAAAACATTTATGACATTATTACAAATTCATTTCTTAAACTGACATTATTCAAACTAATAGGGCTAGAAATATTCCAAGTGTGTGTGTGTGTGTGTGTGTGTGTATCTATTAATTGAATCATTTCTACTCTTTCAACATTAGGAATTTATGAAATAGGACAATTTAAAAAAATAAACATTAAATAATTATTTTATATGAACTGAAAGTCACTATTTTTCTTGTGCTGAAAAATAAAAAGTAAATGCTCTGTTTTGTTATTAAATTATTTCATTTTTTAACTTTTCCAAAGGAAGCAACTAATGAAATTAAGAAGATTAAAGAAATTAACTAAATTAATATTTTATGCTCTATTTTTCATTATCATATCCTTTACTATTCAAACCTGTTTACCTGCCGCAGTTGTTATACTCAGAACTGTTTATCAGTTGTTTTCTTCTAGTGTTTGTTGTCATACTTGGCAGGCTTCTTAGAATTTCAAACTGATCTTTTTACAATGGTAGA